GTAGGGAAATATAGCTTTCAAATTGTAACATTTTAAAATTGAATATATAAGAAATAAATTGTCGCCGGTTGAACTGAAGTGTCCTGTTATTAAAGTATTTAAAGCTGAGACATACTTCAATACATATTATTTTTAAGTATTATCTTTTCTATAAATATTTGATTACTCTATAGAAAGAGAATAATTAAAAAATATAAATGTCCGTACATTTTAAAAACATAAATATTTCAATTATAATATATAGTATTTTAAATATCTAAATGTTACTACTTTATTAAATATATTCATATATTAAATCTGTGCATAAAATTTTGAAAATTATTACTATGAAATTCTTTAAACACAATATTTCATCAATAAAATAATTCAACGTAGATTGTAAAAAAATTTAGTTCTTTGTGATATATTCAATAAATATAAAAATGTTTAAGATAATATAATAGGTTAGTTTAAATTAGAAATTAATATATAATTTTTTTTCTTTTTAATTATTTGTTGTTCCACGCCCACACAGATATATATATATATATACATATACATAATCTAAATACAATTGTTAAAATTATTAGTTGAGTAAAAATGTATTATTAGGAAAAAGTAGTGCTAAGAAACTATAGCATTTTTAATTTAGAGGTGCAAGAATCGCCACTGATAGCATATATCTGAATATCGCGTATTTTTAGAAAATCTCTGTAATGTTCAAACGAATAATTAATCGCAAACCACACAACCAGTGATTTCTATAACTTTATTACGCAATATTAGATTCCCCGTAAGTTTTACATGTTTAATGCCCTCCTTCCTTATTTCGGGTGGTTCGCCATACATCATGTATTTATTATTAATTTATTGCCTATCGTATTGCTATTAAGGTACCACAACTTACTCTACAAGATGACGTCATTATCCGTTGTGAAAAGAATGACCAAAAACTTTACAGATTTTTGCTTGTATGATTCCTCGGACACATTCCTCATTCATCTTTGCTTCAAAAACATTGTCACTCGGTTCCTCATCTCCCCACGTTACGTCGCCCACGCTGCACTGATCTCCTCTCTCTTTTTATCGTCTACTTCATGCACGTGCGCCTTTCCTACGGCTAGACGATAACGACATGAAAAGAAATCGACTGAAATGCGGTACTCTCATCACAGAGGAATTTTCAATTTGTCCACTCGCGCACTAGTCTCACTTTAATATTAGATATCGGGAACTCGGGACGAAATTAGGATTTCTGAAATAATATTATACCGTAATAATTATATTAATAATTATCTTTTCAATTTTTCCCAACATTTTTCATCAGCTTGTAAATGGATTAAAATTCTCTAAAGTTCTTGGATCTCAAGATGCACGTACCTTGAAATTATTGCGTCAAGATTGAAAATATATCGCATCTTTTTAAAAATCAATAGTTCAAAATAGAAATATGTCTCGAAGACTCATTTTACCTGGATAACAAATAAATTAAAAAATTTATTTTCATGAATAAATTATATTGTATAAAATTTTATTAAATTCAGGAAAAATCAAGATATGTTTTAAAATCAGTTTGCTTTAATTCAAATAAATTAATAAATTAATATCATCAATGCATATTTATTAGTTATGTGAAATTAAATTTTCATAAAAAATTTATTTATTACGTGACCAAATAGCCGAAATAAGACTTGCACTTCGATAAGGAGAATATATTTATTATTTCTTTTATTTTATAGTTAAATTTCTTCAAACATTCTATGTAGGTTACTTTTATAAAATAGATTCTATAGAATATCTATAAAATTATGTGGACCAAAACTTGGATTTATAGGAATACTAATAATATTGCTGAATCATGGCATCAAGTAAAATATTATATTAAAGAATAAAGTAGCAACTCCAAAGTTTTACGTGAAATTAGTATTATTTTAGGCTCATCTTACACGAAGCGAAATATTTTTATTCAATTCAATTCAATTCAATTTACTAATGATTTTTATTTTATTCTAATACATAATTCTGCTATTCTTCAAACTATTACATTTTTTCTTTTTATTTTATTTTCCATATTATTATTATAATGCTATATTTATCTGATATCAATGCCAATTGTTTTCACTTTAAGTAAAAATCACTTATATATTTTTTTAAATAATTAAAAAAGCCAATTCTATTAAATTTAAATTACATCCATCTTTATTCAAGTACTACCATAAAAGCTCATTTTCAAATAAAATTAATTTATTTGAAATTATAATTAAATTAATTTTTCTATTCATATGTAATACAATATAATATCCATTTAAATTTATTATCCTAATTAACTAATCTAATCATAAACATTTTCAAGGCTTAGATAAATTTCAAGAAGCGAAGATCAGATTCAAATGTGCACTTCTATTGGGCTAACTTACGTAATAAAAATCCAAAATGTAAATTAGAGATCATTATATAGAAACCACAAAATGCAAGTGTTTTTTTTTTATTTTTTTTTAACAAGTATTTTATTTATTATTATTATTATTATTAATATTATTATTATTATTATTTATCTTAGATAAGAAATATCTTATATTCAATATTAGAACAAAGATTATGTTCAACTATTTGAAAAAAATTTTAAAGCAATCTTATTCACTAAGAAAGAATTTGTTTAAAACGTAATCAATAAATAATCGGTTTATAGACTTTATAAATTTATACACTAATATTTTCTATAAATTTGGGTATATAATAAATAAGACATTGACTTGATTCGACTTTACTGAATTATAATTTACTTGTGAATTTGTATTGTTTTATTTACATTGCATATTTACAACAATTTATATTGTTGTAATTTCCATAATAAAATTAAAAAAAAAGAAAAGAATAACAATGATAATCATAAATATAGAATATCCTTAAAACATACGAATACTGATAATATATATTTAATGTTACAGTGAAGCTCGCAAACGTACAGAAATACTAAATTTTTCGTAAAAAATAAAGTACTTTTCTTATTTTGCAATGAAAGTATGATTGTAAAATAGAAATTGCAATAATGTATTTCATTCAAATTCTATAAATAAAACGTACAGAACTAAAGTTTTAAAAAAATTAATTTTCGTCCAGATAACATAAACGATTATTTGACCTTTCGTTCGTTAATCATCCTTCGTTATTAGTTATTTGCTATAAGGAATAAATGACTCATTGATTTTTAAATATTATTTATTTCTATGAATTGTAGTAATTCATTTATTATGAACTCCTATTTTTAATTTGAGTATGATTGATTTGAATTGTTAAATTATACTTATTAAGCTAAAAATTGAAGTTTATCAGAATTACTGATTTTCTTAATTTACCTGCTAATCCACATAAAATTAAATTAATATTTTAAGTATTTAAACGATTACTGAGATTGATAATCATAATAAATTGTTATTTAAATAAAAAAAAATCCATTTCATATATTTAAAATGTAATATGAATTTTGATTAATAGAAAGTGATGGTATGAATAAAGACTTTATATTATTAAAACTCAAAGAATAGTTTATCAAGTAAAAATGCAAAGTAAAAATCATTATATATATATATATATATATATATATATATATATATATATATATATATGTTTATGTAAATGTTAATCTACTAGAAAACGATTAAACTCATGATATTTAAAAAAATTCTTTTAGAATTGACAGTGTGATCGGTATTGCTCGTTTCATCAAAGTTGTAGAAATCACTTATAAACAGCTTTTATTGCATAAGTTTTCATATTGTTAGCTGTTTTAATATTTCACTCAATGATAAATGGAGGAATAACTTTAATAATCATTAAGTAAATCATTGAATTAGTGATGTTTCGAAGCGAATGGACAAATATAAATGTAAAAGCAATCGTTCTATTTCTAATTAAAGACGATAGCAAATACGTTGAATATTTATAAAATAGTTTAATGAGAAAATAGTATAATATAAATATGATAAATTATATAAATGATTTCTAAATGGATATGTCAGTTATATTTCTAAAAATTATTGTACACAATTAACTATATTTCCTCTTTCGGTTTCCATATTTTTCAGATGCCAAATCCTACACGTGCAGTATATATTTAAAACGAGACAGATAAAAAGATTTCGAAGAATTGTATGCTCATCATCAATACAATATCAGCATATTCGCGTGTATTTTAAAAAGGTAATTACGAAGATTCATCAGCTAAGCCAAATCCATTTATTTACGCTTAATTCATCGTGCTAATTAATAATCATAAAATAATATTTGTTTGAAAAAAATGCGGCTGGTCAAGCTAAATAAACTAAAAGCGTCTCGTTGGTAGAAACATGTCAGGGGTGATAAATTAGCATTAGCATGGGTGAGAAACGACGGGCAATTAAACGTTGCCGGTAAATACACACCGAGTTCCGAGTGTTGAAGACGCTTAATACAAGTTCCGGTACTATCCGCGCCTCATTAGCATCCGGCGGTAAGTGCGACAACGCTCATGAAAATCATAGAGTAAGTCGATGCCAGCATCACCCTTCAGCAATTTGTCTCTCTCGGTACTACGGAAGTAAGCGCTCTCTCCATCCTTGTCATTCTCGAGGGCATCCAAATTAACAGAGAGAGAGAGAGAGAGAGAGAGACAGAGAGAGAGAGAGAGACAGAGAGAGCGAGGGAGAGTATATGCTGTCGGGAGGGTAGGAGGGAGGTAGATAAAGGAAGATAGAGAGAAGAGTTGTCCGAGAAGCCTGCTACAACTGCTCTCTCCCTCTCACCCTCTCACCCTCCCACTTACTCTCTCTCTCTCTCTCTCTCTCTCTCTCTCTGTCTCTCTGTAACATCTCGTTCGCCACGGCACACAACGCTGACGTTCCCAACGCACGTGCCGTGTGCAAAGCTCTGTATGACTAGGACGGGCCCGCGGCGAGCACCGCCATTCGAAATCCAGTATTAGTGTGCGGTGTTTTAGAGAGTGCGGCGAGAGAAAGGAAGAAAGGACAAGCTAGCGATAAGACAGCCTAAAATCGGCTCCCACCCCGTTCGTACCGGCTAACGATATCGAGGAGACGAGCAAGGAGAGACGCCGGGCCCTCAGCGACATTCGATTATATCGACGTGAGTACACCCATGAGTATGAAAACGAGAGAGCGAGAGAGAGAGAGAGAGAGAGAGAGAGAGAGCTGCCGGTGGATACTTGCATAACGTTGGACCGGATATTGGCGAGCAACTCCGGTTTTCCCAACAAGTGCGTCCTCGCACGGGTCCCAATTACGACGTCATCCATAGACGGGAGCCAGAGGGGACGATCGCTCACCAGGTCGTTCAACCCTCCATTCGATCATTTACATTTTTAAGAATAAGCTCGGTCACTGGGTTAGTGTTATATGCTTTACAGACTCGCGATGACTCACAAGATCTTCGGAACCGGAAAGAGTACTTATAGAGCACTTACAATATTATTGTCCTCCACAGAAACCTGCCCTTACGGTTTCTTATTTATTATCATTGAAAATTCATGCGATTTTCAACTCATATGAATCCAAGGACAATTTTTACCTCTAACTATAAGTATAATACTAATATCAACGTATCCTTTTCCTTTAGATAAATAATTTAGATAAATTACATTGCGGGGGTTCAGGCACAATGTTATTCGTACAAAGCAGCTTGGATTACATATTGAATGTGAAAATTCCAAATAGATGATGACACAGTACTAGGTAGAATTATAAATTCTCATCCAAAAAATGTCAGTGTCCTCTTCTTCTAAAAATAGCCGAATTTTGCTATAAGAACTTATTATCAACGACTCGTCGTCGAATGGATGGATATAGTCGTACTTCCGGTTATTTGCACCCCTTATGCTTGTTTACGTGACCTCAACGGTGATGTAAATAGTCGTTACTTGGATATTGTTCAAAATTTCGGTACACGAATCAAGTCGTTCATTAAAATTAATTCGATAATGAATCAATTCGATTAGAAGTTTCCAACTGCATTTTTTATCATTCGAATTGAATTACTAAAAACAAAAAAAAAAAAAAAAAAAAAAAAAAAAAAAAAACAAAAAAAAAAAGACTTTAAAAATCTCGCAAAATTACGAGCGTTGCCGTGAAGCAAATTTACATTATTCTTGTCGTAAGCACCGGAAGTTTATTTTAAATCCATATAATTCTATCTACAATACAATATACAATACTTACCTCTACTATGAAATCTATACAATAAAAAATCTGTCTCATGATTATGACTTAAAATTTGAGATAATCGTTAAATGAACATTCATATTAATACAATAAATAGACAATAACTATTAACATTATTAAAATGATTTATTTGAAAAAAAGAAAAATGTGTATGCCTATTCTCGTCTCTGCACTCGTTAATAGCATAAAGTATAAATTAATATAATGTATTTCAGAATATAATATTACCAATAACTATTATTTTAATAGAATAAACGTCGAAAATAAAATCGTAAATATAAATTGGGCTTAATAATAGAATATGACGATAATTAATCTAGAGATTAAAATAATTTCATTGACAATTTTAGAAACTACTCTAAGTCTTTCGTAAAATAATTCCATCTAATGCAATTCAAGTTTCAAATTTAATATTATTGTTATAGTGCTTATATCGCGGGTCAGCGTATATAATAAAGTCCCTGCAATATACATATTCATCATTATCAATATTAATGACTGGACTTTAAAAACATAAGAACAATGTATCTTATCATTATAATTATTTCATATTATTTACCAATATTATAAAATGAGCCTTAATAAATATTAATGTAAATAAATATGTATCTAAGTTGCATAATTTATCTTCGATATATAATCATCTAAAATTACATCTCGCACGAACAGAAAATGATTAATTACCTACCTTGCGAGTTTGTAAGTTTTTGCTTGAGTGCGCGGGCGCTTATATCTACAGAAACAAGCACACACACGCACATGTGCAGGCGAATCGTGTATAGCAAGCAGTAGAAGAAGTAGGTGAAATCGGTTGAAAGAGCGTAGCACACGACGCGTGCATTTATTAATAGATTCAATATTTTCCGCTTACGCACGATTACAACGAACTCTAATAAACATGTGTGTATACATGTACGTGCAGCGTACGCAAATATATTAGCTAGTAATGCGATATGCGGTAAAATGTAATGGCTATTAACAATAAACAGCGTTGCCTATATTTCGCTAGCGACAATTAATTAGTGACAACTAATTTTATTTAATTGAAATATTGAATTACCTTCCCACGGACATTTGAAAGGATTTTAACCGTTTCTTTAATTATTTTACAAGCAATTAATATCAATGCTACAATTTTATGACAAATAAAATCAGAGGCACATCGATGAAAATAAAAAAGTAGAAAAAATGCATTAAAAACATCAAAATTTGCGCGTAGATCGTGAAATATCAATAATTGAACGAGAATTTAATTGTGAGTAATGGATAGAGATAACGAGTCATCTATTATGTCGCTAATGACATTCGATTGTAAAACAATAGATATTTTTATTAATTTTCGCAGGTTCTAATTATCAAATTAACTATATTATTAATGTGGGATTAAAATTAATAAACACTACTTTTCTAATGATGGACAATTCAAAGGATAATAGTCTATCTGAGTTAATAATCGAACGTTTGATCTCGGCGATCAAAATTCTCATCCACTCCTAAGAGGAAATAAAATTTACGTTTGATAGATATCCAGATTCTTGCATAGAAGAAGTATCTTTATTATTTACCGCATACATCCATGCACACACACACACGCGCGCGCGCGCGCGCGCGCACACACACACACACACACTATATATATATATATATATATATATATATATATGGATGTATGTACGCGCGCGCGTGTTTATGTGTATAATACAATTTATTCGAATGCACATTTCCTAATTTGTACAATTGCGACTGACAAACGATAATGTAAGTTCGCAGGCGATTTAAAATAAAAATGAATACCAAAAATTAAGTATTGTTTAAATCTTGTTTACATACAAACGGTGACTTTATGAGCATAACTACCAAGGTTACAATGTAACAGAAAAGATAAATAGATAAAAAATGAAATTCTACGCACACGTATTTCGAAAAGTAAACGTTGCGACTCACTTGAACGTAGAATGAGAGAACATGCAAAAGGGGCGGGACAGACACTATGTATATGGACGCCGTCGTTGCCCTCTGGAGGGGATGAGATTCGCGCTAGGCGATTGCGGTAGAGGAGAGAGAGATAGAGAATGAGAGAGGGAGAGAGAGAGAGAGAGAGTGAGAGTGAGCGAGTGAGTGAGTGAGTGAATGAGAGTGAACAAGTATTGGGTGGGGATGGGGGGGGGGAGGTTAAGCGCAAGAGGGGCGTTGATTTTGGCTATGAGCGCGAGGAAGGGAGAAAATTCAGCCGGTGGCGCGTAATTTATCGGGAAGGGGTAGTAGAATGACGCTGGACGTTAGATGAAGTAGGGGTTGAGCAGTCGGGATCAACGGAGAGAAGGATAAAGGATCAAAATTAACTGTAGAAAGTATATGAGAAATAAATGGTAGTGAAGGAGAAGGGGAAGAGGCGATGAGAAAGAAAAATCAAAAGAAATGATGAAGGGAATCACGATGTCTCGGCTTCTTTTAAAATCATTGTATTTAATGCATAAATTTTTTTAAAATTTTTTTACGACTTATGGAACTTCTTAAAGTGAAAGGCTTGTGAACGCATTGGCAACATTTACGATAAATGTTATCGAAAATCGTATCACAATGCATACAATAATCATAAGAATACGATAGGAATTGTAGGTGTAAATTTAAACAAAGAGCTTTTTATATATTGAAATTTACAACCATTCAATCTAAATTAATTAACAATTAACGACTTTAAATAATTGATTATAAATAATTACTAATGATAATAATTCTGCTTTACAGATAATAATTGTACTTTACAATGACTTATAAAAACCGTAATGTAATATTATTAATTTATCGTTAAGTTGAACGTTGATTGTATAAACAATAATGCATAATAGTTACAACTGTAATACATGTTATGTAATAGTAATAATTAAAAAGAAAAAAGAAATTTTTTTTACCGTTTAATAAGTATGAAGAGAAAAGAGATTAAACGAAACATAAAAATAGATTTGTTTGATACAATACGAACGTAATAACTTTATCACATTAAGATTGAAATATCATTGAAGATCAATGTTGTGAGTAATTCGTTGCTCCGATCGAATTTCAAATACTCAATAAGCTAATTGTAAAAGCATGTGTAGGCGTAATTAATGAACGGTTCGTACAATAATCATTGTGTTATTTAATAATATTTAAGAATAATGTTAAATAATAGCCGGCAGCGACGGTTGATAATGCCAACAGCATTCGATGATAATAATAGCGACTGCGCCCGTGAGAATGGTGAAACTGAGTGACGATGACTGACGGCGATGACGATGATAATAGCCCTAAGACGCGACATGACGATACAACGTAACGAAGGGGAGAGAACCACGTACCCCTAAAAGGCGGGGTGAGCGGCGCAGTGGGTAGGAAATGCTAGTCGTCGAGCTTCCCTAATACGGGCCCTGACACGACGTCCGTCCGCTTCACGGCCTACGTGCCCGCACCAATATAGAATGCGCAGACACTTTGCCGGCGCTCCGTCCGCTCGTTCTCGTCTTTTTCTACTTGCGCCTCACGCCACGCCATTATCCCATGAGCGCTGATGACCGAAATAGATGCACGGTGAGGAGGAGGATGGTGGCCGATACGTTGAGTAGTCGTCCACAGCGGATTGTTTACCTTCCATTTTCGTAACCAAGCGTTAGATAATGCCCTCGGAGTTGGCATTGGCGGAGGGTGAGGAGGCAAGACTTTCCGGAAACTATTTTTCCTCTATTTTTCCTCTATTTTTCCTCTATTTTTCCTCTATTTTTCCTCTATTTTTCCTCTATTTTTCCTCTATTTTTCCTCTATTTTTCCTCTATTTTATTTTTCCTATTTTTCCTCTATTTTTCCTCTATTTTTCCTCTATTTTTCCTCTATTTTTCCTCCATCGCGCTCTTATGGCTTTTGTAAGAATTCGAATCTCCGCGCGTTTTTATGGGGCGTCTAAAGTTGTTTAGGAACTTGATTTTTAGTGATTTAGGATTTGAAGGTGCTGCAGGGTAGCCGTAATATGTTCGCAGTCAAACGAAAATCGTCTCATTATTACTCTTTAGACGGAAAAATTAATAATGAAACGAGACTAAGCCCAGTTAGTTTGCATCTTATGAATAACTAAAATTAATTTAGCGCTTATATTGCATTAATTTCTAGTCGAAAATAGAGGCACAACGTTCGCAATTCTTGTTAAAAATACACTCAGACGATCAAATTTTCAATCGATAAATTTTAATCTTTTTATGAATAAATTGCAGTTGTATAAAGTTCACTACTATAAGTAGACAAATCATTCATGAAATAAATATTGTTATTTAATGAGGCAGTAAGGATCGGTGTTGTGAAAGAGAAAACTTTTGGCTAGAGAGAAATAATTTACGGATAATATCGCCAGTTGATCAAAAACGATAATTCCCTATCACTTGTAAATTCGTAGAGATGGAATTACAATTTTTCCTCTTTTTAGATTTTATCATATATTATTTATTTCCAATAGGTTGTCAATAAAAATAAGATTATTTTTAAAAATTAATACACGTGCGTGCGTGTGTATTAATTGTTATTATTCAACAAAGCCTCAATGTCCACACTTATCACAAGGATCTCAAAATAATAATTGATGCAAATGTTGAAACGATACATTAATGAAAGAAAAAACAAATAGATATATATATATATATATATATATATATATATACATACATACAAAACATTAAATATATAACAAATATATAATATATTAAATCAAATATGTTAAAATAATAAAATTTTTATTACATTAATAATCGTTTATATTAAAAATACATTAGATTGAAAAAATTGAATGAAGCATTAATTTCTAGTATTCTATTTTATTCCAATCCATGAATTGCAATTAATTCCGTTTCACATAGTCAATATAATTTTCTTTTGAACCCTAGACCATTGTGTACATTCGCTTCTCGAACGTAAATGTATATTATGAAAAACTGATGATAACTACTATAATCTCACAGTAATAATGCATCTAAATAACGTAAAAAGCAATTTCAAAACTCGTATGTACTAGTAACTATGTAAATAATATCGCAAAAATGTGAATTCAACTTACGTAAAAATAAAATTGATAGTCATATCAGAGTTTTTCTTAAGAAAAAAATACCTTCTTTATGGCGCGAAACGTAATTTTACGATCTTACTGCAATCTGAAAATATTAATTAATTAATCAATATATATATATATATTTATATATATATATTATATACATACGTACTATTTTCTTTTTGTTACAGTAAATAAAATCACAAAATGCCTTACAAACCAGTAGAACAAGCAAAGTGTCCGAAGTGCGGAAAATCGGTCTACGCCGCTGAAGAGCGCGTAGCCGGTGGACTGAAATGGCACAAAATGTGCTTCAAATGCGGTGAGTTCATACACGACTATTTTTGCACTTGCAATATAAATTTCCATAGTTAAATTCGATTTCGAATGAAGTGATATTCCTCCTATAATCAAATGAAATTGGAAATTGTTTTATAAATCTATAGATGGCGTCCAAACATCATTTAATTACCAATTCTCTTTTCTTTGTATTTTTTTCTTCTTAATTTCATTTCGATTTCTATAATAAACTTCGTTAAAATATATTACTATTGAGGTAACAATTTGTATATTAATTAATGCTGATTTTGAGGTTTTCATGCAATTTCTATTGATTTATAAAAAATATTCTCCGATTATGCCAATATTATTAAGAAACGTATATTAAGGCAGCCGATGAGCCCGTCAGAATAGCAATTACCTGCACAATGAATTTACGATAAAAGATTTAAATACTTAACTTGCATTATACAAATAATTTTAATTATCATTATTCAATTTTACTTTTAATTATATAAATATTAAATTGGCGAATCAATGATTTCATAAGTATTTTTATTTGAGGATAATTTGAAGAATTGCATCTAATGATGATTTGTTTTGTTATTAAAAAAATACAAGTATTTGCAAAGCGTCACTTTTTACACGTATAAATTACATTTTCATTTGGAATATAATAAATGTAAAATACGTTATTTGATTTTCTAACAAAGAATTTTCCCATTTATATACATTTTCGCCTCGAAAAAAAAAAAGTTTCCTAAATATTCTCATACTATAAAAAGAAAAAAAAAAAAAAAAAAAAAAAAAAAAAAAAAAAAACTATTCGAATATTTACATTGGTTAATTAAATTGTATGATTAGATTTATAAGACAATGATTTGTACTAATATATTGTGATTATTTAAAATTTAAACGAGAAAAGATATTATTGTTAATTCATTCGCTCGGTATTAATCGATGAAATTGTAAATTGTAAATTCTTTAATTGACCATCAACTGATAAATAATGATAAAATATATTTTGTCTTCTTCTCTTAAATATTACGAGCGATCCAATGATATAAGATAATGGTATTCCGATACTATATTACGTAGAATTGATAAATTTGATGTCTTTTATCGGTAATTAAGACTGAAAAACTATTATAGTCAGAATTTGAATATGAAAGGAAACGAGGGATATCGTGACAATCAACTCTGAGAAATGAAAATTGATGTGTGGCTTTGAAGAGGCCAGGTTAAAATATTGAAAAATATATATGATGAAAATATTGCAATACTGGAGTGATAAGAGAAAGCATTTTTCCTCCGGGAATTGAGTTGATAATTCTATGATACAGTTAGTTTGGCCAACGCTTTTAATTAAGAAGCGGGAAGGAGGTAACCGTTGTAAAAGTGGAGAAAGCTAAGTAGTCGTGGGGGTCGTTGTTCGTTGCAGGTCTTTGCGGTAAACTGCTTGACTCGACAAACTGCAGCGAGCACGAAGGCGAACTTTTCTGCAGAGTCTGCCATGGTCGCAAATTCGGACCCAAGGGCTACGGCTTCGGTGGTGGCGCTGGCTGCCTCTCTATGGATCAGGGCGAGCAGTTCAAGAGCTACGAGTGAGTGCATCCTCCCGTCGTATCCCCTCCCCTTCTTACCTTCTCCCCTTATCCACTGATATACCAAGTAAATCCCTAGCCAAACTCCCGACCCCTTCTTCCCCGCGTATAAAGGAAAAAAAAAATCGTCTCTCCCCGGGATTTTTCTTCGATTTCTTATGTTACTTGTTTCGCTTTCTTCTATAAATCCTTAACCTGTACGAACGTGTAGGTACGTACATACACCTTAGATGCTCGATGGGATGCCAATATATACAGTAGAGTGGGTGTGCATGAGTCCCCGTGACGATTGTCCTACCCGGTGTTTTGCAATACTGTAGACTCCTCGTATTACATACAGGTTTATTATATCTATAAATACACGTGTATGAACATAAGGCGACACAGCGAAAAGAAGACGGAGAAGTCGAGCTGGCGCCACGACACCATATAGTGACACCCTCACCAAATACCCCCTGCCCCCAATTCCCCTTACCGCCCTATCGGACCCCATTTGTGTTGTGTTTATCTTTATCATACGTTACGTACAAAACACATATCTGTTATAAAATCTTTATATTGCAAGAATAAAAATCTCCGTTATTATATTTTTTTCTCCATTCATCGAGTAATGCTCATATTTTTTTGAATTTCACCTTTATTATTGCTGTTTTGTTAAACTTTTGACAATTTTATTATACGAATCCTGATATACACAATATTTTGTTACTCTCTCTCTCCCTCTCTCTCTCTCGTCCCCGTTGTGAACCTTATCCTTGATATCCCGATACAAACCCCGTTATCAACTGTTACCTTTGAACCTGTTGGATGTGACGTCCGTAACGCAAGATACGACGAAACGTTCGATTGAAAAAGGACGAAAAAAATTATGCATCACGTGCGCCTTTTTCTAGTGTTGTATATGGAATTTATATATACACTTATGACACGACGATAAAAGTGCTTGTGTTCGTTACAATTTTTTTTTTTTCCCCGATAAGACGAGCGGCAACAAAGTCTAGTCGATGTTCTTTTTTTCGATTATGCGTCGGCAATCCACAAAAGTTTATGTACACGATTAAATGAATTTTGTGAATTCACAATATTCGGGCTTATCAAACTTTCGTGGATCCAAGCAATTCTATATTGTATGCACGTACTTATTTATTATTTACAAAATTTGATAATGATGAATTATTATAAAGCAAATACAGCATATATGATGGAAAATAATTAAAAGAAGAAAAAAAAAAGAAAAAAATATATATACATACAAAGATTTATGAAAACGAACACGCAGTCATATACACAAAAGTTTTTCTCTCTCTCTTTAGGTATAGGAATATTTGTACCATCTGTAATAAGTGTTACATTAAAAAATATCTTAATTAATAAATAACACTGTATAAAAACGTTAAAAAGACTTGAGCTTTTCATATTACTATTAAATAACGCCTGGCGCTGATGTGTGGCGCACACGCACGTACACACACAGAGAACATTTTCAACTAAATACGCCACAATGTTGCTAATTAAGTAAACTTATGATAGATAAGCATAATAGAAAATTAAAAGGATTTTTCTCTATAAAGATGCTTTTGTTATGAAAAAAAAAAAAAAAAATAAAAAAAAATATATAGACATAATCACTATAAAAACAAAGAAATCGTGTTTTTACGTGCGTACGCGCGAGCAGTGCCAGCGTTTAAAAAATCTCCCTTCCCCTTCCCCGCCAGCCCCGCCGAGTTCGAGCCGCACCGGGATCAGGCCCTGAAAGTCTGAAAAAATCTCTCACTCGCAACCCGCCACACGAAAAACACACGAATTATCCGCGCTAAAAAACTGATGATGGTGAGCACCGAGTACATATTTTCTCTCGCAGGGCGTGATTTATTTTCTCTAATTTACTCTTAACTTTATTTATTGAGAACTTTACTTATTTTTTATGAAAAGAATACTTAAAAAAAATACATTTTTTAAAAAAGATAAGCTTTTGCTTCCCGCGCCAATTTTCCTGCACGGCCTATTCTCTGAGCATAAATCTCTAACCTCACTAACCTCTAACCCCATTCTATAGATAACGCAAATACTTACTCATTCGCTTTATTTCTCTCTCTCTCTCTCTCACTCTCTCACTCTCTCACTCTCTCTCTCTCACTCTCACTCTCTCTCTCTCTCTCTCACTCTATCTATCTATCTATATATATATATATATATATCTTTCTCTGTCTCACTCTCTCTTTCTCACGCACACGATACGCACAAGCACGCGCGCACGCGCACACACATAAGCTCTTACCATCTTACTCAATCACTACCTCTTTACCTTTCATTTTTATGCGCTATATCACATTATTACACACATCCACAATCGCTTTCTCTCTCTCTCTTTCTCTCTCTCTCTCTCTCTCTCTCTGTCTGTCTGTCTCTGTCTGTCTCTGTCTGTCTCTGTCTGTCTCTTCCTCACTCTCTATCTTAGTAATCTTGCTCTTTCGCTTACGCTCTGTATTTCTTTCTTCTCTAATTGAGTAATCAATGTGACTAGATTATGTTTACACGTTTGTTTATCTATGTCTTTTATTTTTGTTTACCTTGTATATTTTCTGGTATTTCTGTCACTGTTTCTGTTATTTTACATTTTTTTTATTTTTTATTTTTTGATAATCTCTTTGGTACGCACCAACATCCGCTTATCGGCTCTCCTCTCGGGGCTCGGCGGAAGCCACGGCGCGTGGTTGGGGAACACTAACTATTACTAACATGTGCCTAACAAAAACAACAAAAACAACAAATTTAATTCCCGGCGGTCGAGGAATGCGCTCGTGAAGTGTCAGGATTTTTAAATTTTTCGTTTCATTTTTATTTCTTTTTAAAATTGATATTATTGTACGTGTAGTAAAAGTACCGGCCGTTCGTCTATTTTGAACGTTTTCATGGGAATTCCCATAAGGATTAATTCAATTTTATACTCACGGATTTTAATATTATTATTAAAATATTGTAAATGAAATCAATTATTCAATTAATAAATTTTCAATGCGTAAAATCAATTTAACTATTATATTTCAAATTAATTATCGTAAACGGTAATTAATATTACTCAAAACGATAATCACTAAAATAAAAAAGCAAGAAACATCTACTCATGATAATCTTAATGATAAAATAGTCAAAAACCATAAAATTCTTACATCTGCGTGATCACTTAATACTGTAATAGCAATTTATATGAAGCGATATATATATATATATATATATATATATATATATATATATATATATAGAGAGAGAGAGTATGAATATAAGTATCCTATATGAATATTAAAAAAATACACGATTAAAAAAAAAGTTCTTTGTGATAGAAATAATTAATAGTAAATTAAAACACATCAGAGACATATAATGACGTTCGGGCGTATTTTCCTCACCGTAGGTTTTTGTTGGTATTGCCTACATAACTTTCATAGAACAATGCAATATGCACTTCTAGTGGTTTTGTTTCTATCGCAATTTGTTTCCTTGGCTTCTTGATAAATAATTGAGTTTCGTTAATAAACCGCGGGTATTAAGACACCCGTAGACAATCGAATAAATGCACTGCACGCTCTTTTCTAATCAACTTAGCAAATTTATTTTAGCATACGAAGAAAGTATTTGATTCAACGATATAATTAAAGACTGTAATCGAAGCATTTAAGAAGATTTGTTTTAAAGTAGAAACGTAAATTTATCCAATGATTTGATTAATGTTGATATACTTTCTTCTATACATCGTATTGTCAATTGGTTTGGCATTTGAAAACAAAACTCAATTATTTAATTTTCATTTCATGTTTTAATCATCTATATCGACTTTATCAATGCGCAACTAAATGTCGTAATTAAGAAAAAAAAATATATCCAATGTGGAAAATAATTTATTATTCAGCGCATGGAAAGAGTCAATCTGCATATTTTATTGTATACGAAATCGTTAATGCACAGAAAATAGTGATTCAATCAAATTCCATACGATTTTTCAACGACATTGAAAATTTAAACTTTGTTTTAATAATAATCGTTTGCGTTTTATTTTCAAGATAAGTCAGCCGAATTTTAATAGGTCCTTGTAATTCAACTAAACAAACTTATTTGTATTCATCAATTGATCTAATAAACGAATGGATGTTCGCAAGTAGAAGATTGTAATTTTTATTATGTGTATATAATTATAAAAGGACTTTATCGAAAAACATCACTCGACGTATTAAAATTTTGTTATAAATTTTATCAATTAATGAATTATTCGTTTAAAAGCATCCCATTGCTTATCGTATACATTTTAATACTAATAACTTAGTTGCAATATACAGTTTCACGTGCGCATATGTGTGTTTACGTACATTTCAATGTGATTATACATTAATAAAAATATTTGTTAATAAAGAAAGAATTATTGACGCTCGTATGAATTGTCGGATTAACGCGAGTGGTGGACCAGCCACGACTTTAGCATTTTTAATAAATAACATTGATGGAGGCTTATTAGCAAATTTACAAGTCCTTCGTTGTTTCTACCTATGAAATGCTCTCTAATAACAAATAAGGAATAAAACATGTGAGTCATTCTTGTCTGTGTATTAATGTTTGGGAAAAAAAAGTATCGACGCCGATAACGTCATTGCACTAAACAGCTAAGCACGAGTCGCGCTATACTTCTAAAAAGTCCTTGTTCTCGGTGGACAATTGTTAAAAAAAAAAAAAAATTATTAAAAATGAAAGGCCACGATCGCACGGCAGTGCTGCATGAAAATGGACGACAATCGGCCTCGCTACTAATCTCCATTCCTAATCTATACAAAACCAAAAGGAATGGCGAAGCGCTTAAGGGAGCTGATAATGATGCCGGGGGAGGGGCGGGGAGAGAGAGAGTGGGGGGA